TCCCACCACAACACCCTGCCATTTTTTTTTTGGTTGCAGCCATCATTGTTGTTTGGCAGGCCCAGGCTGGGGATTCGAACCCGCCACCTTAGGTGCATGCGGCTGGCGCCCTAGCCGCTTGAGCCACAGGCGCTGAGCCGTGTTCTCTTATTTTTACATGTTGTTCCTCTACCAAACTTTCTTCCTTCCTCTTTATCTTCTTTCATCCCTATCTTCATACAATAAACAAAGTAGAGAGGCAAGGAGAAAAACAGATGACTAACGCATAAAATTTACTTTTACTCCTGTCTAATATCTTTCATTCCTTTTTTTTTTTTCCTGTGTTTTTTGTTTTTTGGCCAGAGCTGGGTTTGAACCCATCACCTCCAGTATATGGGACCAGTGCCCTACTCCTTTGAGCCACAGGCGCTGCCCTATCTTTCATTCTTTTTCACTTATTTTCCAAATTAGGAGATAGTTCATAAGGAATCAGCTAATATAATAGTCTACCTCGCCATGTTTGATGTAGGAAAAATACCAGGATCTTCCCCCACCCCCAGCTCTCTGAATAAACAAAAAATAGAAACATGTTTGGAAAGACAGATGTTTAAATTTAGACTGGAGATTGGGTGCCTGTAGCTCAATAGTTAGAGTGCTGGGGGTGGTGGGTTTTTGAACACTGCCGGGGGCTATTAAAAAAACATTAAACAGTGGTTAAATCTGACGACTTTTACTCTGTTCCTTCGGTATCTGTATTTTCTGATCTTTCTACAGAGTTTCACTCTGTTGCTCTCAGTAGAATGCCGTGGTATCACAGGTCACAGCAACCTCCAGCTCTTGGACTTAGGTGATTCTCTTGCCTCTGCCTCCTGAGTAACTGGGACTACAGGTGCCCACCACAACACCTGGCTATTTTTTGTTTTTGTAGTTTGGCTGGGACCAGGTTCGAACCCACCACCCTTGGTATATGGGGCCAGTACCCTATCCACTGAGCCACAGGCACCACCCTAATTTTTCTATTTTTAGTAGAGCCAAGTTCTCACTATTGCTCAGGGTGGACTACGGTGGCTCCAGTTAATGTTTCTATTTTTCCTACCGATGAGATCTCACTCTTGCTCAGACTTGTCTCAAACTCTTGGCCTCAAGTAAGCTGCTCAGCCTCTCAGAGTGCTAAGATTACAGACATGAGCCTGCCAGTTTTGTCTTTTAAAAATGCAAATCCAAAAAGTTAATCAATGGCTCGGCGCCTATAGCTCAACCGGCTAAGGCGCCAGCCACGTACACCTAAGGTGGCGGGTTCGAA